GGGTAAAACTGCATATTTTTCTGTTTTTCTCAATACTACCTTAATTTGTATGTGACAGTTACCATGATCCACTAGAGTATTTTGTTAATTTTTTTTAAAGATGTTTTTCAGTTTTCTGTCTGAAAATGGAAAATATTGCATATTGAACTGACAATGAGAAGATGTTTAAGAATTACAGCAGATTACTTCAGTCAGATGATAAAAAGTTGATTATATAATCTGAAAATGATATAGTGGAAAAACTTGCAGAAAATTCCGACATTGAAAAATAAATTTCTGATGATGATGAAGTTATTGTATATAGTCAATATGTAATGAATATTACATATTGCATATACAGTGGAACCTCTATATTTGTCATTAATCTGTTTCCAAGGGCCTAATGAATATGGAATATGATGAATATAGAAATAGTTTTTCTCATAATAAATAACTGATATTCAATTAATCCATTCCCATCCTGTAAAAAAGATACAAGAATAAAAATTATGTTGTTTTTAAAACTTTACTGTATTTATTTAGTACAATAAAGATATAGTGGTAGAAGGGGAAGAACAGTATTATTGTTTAGAAGAAGACATATCAATTAAAACATTAGGCAATTCCAATTATGATCATGGAGTCTGTTTTGTTGATGATTCAGTAGTGCTCGATTTAATGAAGAACTCGTCCAGTGCTGTGTGTTTTTGTCTGCTTTTTAAAACTTTTCTGAAGTAGGCAATTACGTTATTATTGAATGTACAGTATTTGTATTTTGGTTGACTATAGCAACATTTGGGTGCCACTTTGGAGCAATTGGAACTTTGTTTCTCGCATTGATTGTTTTTCAATAACTCAACAACACACACGATGACCACACAAAGCATACTGATTAACTACAACTAGCTAACATGGCTAGCTGATTGGCATGGGCATGCAATTGTAGTGTCACTTCCAGTGTTGGGAATGACGACGAATATAGAAAATACTGATGAATATAGAAAAATAAAAAATTCATCAAAATGTGACGAATATCGAATATTACAAATACAGGTAACCCCCCGTATAACACGGTAGTTACATTCCAAAAAATTGCCATGTTATGCGAATCCGTGTTATACGAAACAAAGAACTAATACGAAAAGGAGGGTTAGGTACCAAAAATTAAAAAACATGCTAGTATATTTTCATAATTAAGATAAATATCTTCATTAAAATTTTTTAAGTGATACATATTAATATAAATTAAACAATGTTTTCTTCGTCATCACTAAAAACACTATTAATTAACCGAGAGAGTTTTCTTTTTGGCAAGTTATCCTTATCCTCTGAGCATTTTTCTGCATTATCTTCAGATCCATGCTTTACCTTTTGCAAAATGTATGTAATTTTAGATTGCTTGCTTCTAGTTAAAAGGTCTTTATAAATTTCCTTATATGGTGCTAAGCACTTATGAAGAATAAAGCAAGTATGGAATAAGGGAAAAACATTCGGCAACATCAGAAGCAGAAGCGTCGCGATCTGGCAACATTGAAACAAGTTTCGAGAAGGACCACGTGTATCGACAGAAGGCGAGAAGAGAAAATTTACATACTTAAGTACTAATAGTTCACGAAAATAATAATTTTCGTAAATTTTTACATACTTAAATATGTAAAAATTTATTACATTTCCTGTTGTACGAGGGTTTTACCCAATTCTCGAACTGTGTCAGATTCGTGCTATAAAAGTACTGTGTTATATGGGGGATGGTACCAATTCTCGAACCGTGTTAGAGTGAATCCGTGCTATAGAAGTGCCGTGTTATACGGGGGTTACCTGTATAGAGGTTTCACTGTATTAGCATATGTAGTCAATATTCTCATTTTATCAACTAAAACATTCATAAACTGAGAGTATTGACTATAGACTATTTGTAAATCAATTGCATGTCATACTTTAATTTATTTTTGTAATTTTTATTTTATTTATTAAACTCTGTTAAAAGTTAATATTTTTTCTCATAATTAAAAAGAAAATTTAAATGTCTTATTCCAAAAATTCCTTCCACAAGCTGTTTTAAAACAATAACAAATGTATTATGTAAAACTGAAGATGTAGAGCCAAAAATGCTTTTGGCAAATAAATATTTGGTAACCTGAAGAAGTAATATTAGTCTATTCATTTATAATAATATATTATATTTCCACATAATACAGTATATTAAATTATTAAATTTTTTCCCATTAATAGTAATTTGTATTTATTTTTATTTGTGTTTTTATTACAGTGCATTCTACAGTGGTTCCAATGAGACTGTTGCACATTATCCATTTGCCATGAGAAAACGAAAAAATAGGAAAACATTAATATTAAGATATTTTAAAGATGTGCATTGATATGGAAGATCAATATCATAAAAATTTGAAAAATTTAGCATTTTCACAAATATGAATGTTAATTATACTAAATACTTAGATTGGATGTCACGCCAACAGTTTATTAACTCAATTAAAAACTTCAGATAAGGAGGCATTAAAGAAATTCCTCCTTATCTGAAGTTTTTAATTGAGTTAATGAATGTTAATTATCAGGTATGAATAATAATTGATTTTTTTTAAACTGTTAATGGGTTTTTGTGTCATGTTTTGATAAATCAAAATAATTTAGCAAAAAATGAATACAGTAGGATTTCTGTATTTCTGTTTATATTATAATTTTTTTTTTGGAATGTTGAATTTCTCTCTCTCTCTAACAATTAAAAATGTTTTCGTTTTAGTTTAATTTCTGTATTAAAAACTTTAGAAAGACAGATGAATAAAAAAAATCTTATTTTCCTTAATGAAATTTTTGGTTGTTTAAAGAAATTTATAATAATTTTGTTGAAAATAAAAAGAATACAGGTGACAATTATTGACTATTTTTCAAAACAAACATATGAGAGTATTTATTTATTAATTCAATAATAAGCTATTTTTTATTTGTTTCTCAGTTTCAATAAAAATACTCTTCTATTTAATTTTTTCTTGTAAAATACATAAATAATACATTTTATTTTGTTGTTAATATAAATACAAGGACATTTTTTCTTGAGAATAAAATATCATTACAGTATTGTATTTCATTTTTCTATTAGTGCATTCTCCATTTAATGAAATTCATTAAATGGAGAATGCACTAATAATTTCAGAGGCAATTCATTATATGGAAATTTGGCTGTATATGCGTTTGGATTTCATAAGAAAAGTGCTTTTGAATTTGAGTAGAAATGATTTGTTCTGATTTTATTGTCATAGTAAAATTTGATTTAGTACTAAATCTCAAATAAATTTTATTGTTACATACGTTAAAATATTTACTGAATCTTTGTATGAAATAGTAATAATATTAAACATTATATTATTACAGTTTCAGAACTAAAATGGGATTGGAAGTAAAATTGAAAATGTATTTACAAGTGTAAGTGTAGGATGTTGTAAATATTATGAAGTACAGCGTGATACATGTAAAAGTAGCCTCAGTGCATAACTTAGCGGAAACACAGAGTAATACAGCAATAATCACAGAAGCCAACTGCTGGTATCACCTTCATAGATGTTAAAAGTGGTCACCAGTTGCATCTATAAACACAGCTGCACCTAATGAGTCATATTTATGAACACCTGGTACAACATAGTGGTATAATTGGCGGTAATTGCATGGCTGATGTTGCTCCTCAGTTTCCGTGTTGCCTATGGATTTTTACAATACTAGACATCAATATTTGATCAACACAACACTTCACTCAATTGATGCAGTTTGCTCACTACACTGAATACACTAATCAGAGACTTGGACTGGGCTATTTTTTGTGTGCCACCCTGATAAAATAAACATTTATTTAGAAAAATATTTTAAAATAATAAGTATGTTTTGAATAAAAGTCATAATAATAAACCTTTTCCACTTTACAGATCCATGTGATAAGATATTCTGTGGAGATCATGCAAAATGCCAATTAGATCCAAGTGGAGATCCAGTTTGTGTTTGTTCAGCTGGTTTTACGGGACGCAGTAATAGCTTACCTGGATGCATTGGTAAGTTTTGGAATTAGGTTACAATGTAGTAATCTGATGATTAATATTTAAAGCTTATGAATTATATATCAATATAAAATTTTATTTAGATATTAATGAATGTGATTCCGATGGCCCCTCTCATTGTGGTGAGAATGCGTTATGTCGAAATTTGCAAGGATCATTTGAATGTACTTGTCCGAGAGGTTTTAGTGGAGATCCTTATAAAGGTTGTCTTGCAATTGGTATGTAACTTACTTTTTTCAATAAATTTATTTCTTTAAAACAAGTTATTTTACTAAAAAAATTTTAAATTAATTCTTCTGTTGAGTAGAGGTTCAAGTGACATGTTCAGAAACTAGGCCTTGTCCTTTGAATGAAGAATGTGTAACAGTTAGTAGAACTCCACAATGTGTTTGCAAAAGAGGATATACCCGTGATCAAGATACTAATCGTTGTCGAGGTATGATTATAATTTTACTTATTAAGCAAGTTTCTTTTTTTTTTTTACAAAATTTAACTTCTGTCATTTCGTTTTACTGTATATATTACAAAAAAAAAAAATCANAATTCTCCTATATTAATTATAATAAAAGATTTCATTAAATTCTTTCTAATTCAAAAGAAATAATATTTAATAACATAATTTTGCTTCTCATACATTAAAAAGAAAAAAGCCTATTTACAAAATGTTTATCAATCAAATGGCTGATATTGGTAATAAATAAGTAATGAGCAAAAGTATGAATTAAGTGTAGAATCACAATCCCACCCAGAAGAAAAGGAACTAACATTCAGATAGATTACCAAGAAAACCAAAATAAAATTTTCCTGTGTTCTTAGTAACAATTTGAACAGGCAATTTTCTAAGTGTATTAAACTTTTTTTGACAGCTACTTTTCAAATTAACTTTTAAAGTGTATTGAAGAAAGTTGATAATTTAAATATTATTGATACTATTCATTACATTTAGTGATGAATATTATTAATAAACAACAAAAATTTTAAAAATAACAGTTTTTTCCAGTAGATATACAGTTGAGTCTGTTTAAGAAAGTACCCTCAGGATTGTCATATTATGCACCCTTATCTGAAGTGACAAGATCACTCAACCTCTGGGTTGTTAATGATATTCATTTCTCTTCACTTTTTCATGTCATAGTAGCTATATAAAACTTATAACACACTTGGAAATTCATTATTGCATAATTTTTACAGTACTTAAATTACATATTAGTTTCCATTCTTATAACATCAATTTTATTGTTCTATCAAATAATTAGTAAATACAGTATATTGACTAGTCATGTTACTTTCACTTCTTTCCAGAGATAGGGGTTAGTGTAGTTGAAAGTGTAGTACTAACATTCTCACTCCAAAGTTTCAGAATACTCTCTTATGGGACATTTAAAAAGTAAATATAGTACCTTCTACTCTTTATAATACAAACTAGCAGCATTCAGGGGCTTTGATCAGATGGGCACACACACATTACCCTGACATTTTAGACAGATTGAATGAATTACAATACATCAAACCACTGGAAAAGCATTTCAGCTATAATCCTAAGACTAAACAAATTCTTATTGACAGCTTTCAATCTTCTATGCAGCCAAATACAAGAGATTCCTCCAGGGACTTCTACACCATAAATGAATGCATTCAACCTCTTCATAACATCTTTAAAAAGATAGCAAAAGTTACTAGTAAGGGATAATTGTTTACAAAAGATCTTCACAGTTTAAAAATACTCTGTAATTACAAGGACCTTCCAGATCCAATGAGTGTACTCTAATCCCATTACAACCAAAGAACAACACACGACTTAATATATGTTGGAGCTACTTCAAGATCTCTCAGAATATGCCTGAAGGAACATGGCACTGTCAGCCTTTGCACTGGATGACAGTGCCATTTAATTAATCAGAATGCTCCTGTTTATAAATTTCAATGTCATTGGAAACCATTGAAATTTACATACAGGAGCATATCAGATGTTGCATTAACAATAAGGACAAGTTTAATTTTCTAAGCATATAAGCTTTGCTTAGCTTATGTGCTTAGAAAATTACACAAATACATCAAATTATGACACACATATACATAACTCATCCCTGCAAAGCATATAAGCTTTGCTTAGCTTATATGCTTTGCAGGGATGAGTTGTGTGTGTGTGTGTCATAATTTGATGTATTTGTGTTTTATATTTGGAGCAGTCATTTTAAGCTTGGATTGATGGTTGGAACTCACTTAAAATTTTGGAATGCATAGAAGGTAAATCAAACCTTATTGGTTTTTAAGCTTCTTTGAACTTTTATAGCATAGAGAAACTCAACCAAACTTTTGTGTTGTTGTTCTTTTACATTTGTAACTATGTTCTTCATGAACAGATCATATTCATAGCCTGGAGACGTTGGAAATATATAAAGCCAGCCTAACTGGCAATTGTATTAACTTTAAGGACTGCAATATGGTGGTGCATGCATGGAAGTACACGTATGAAAGAGTTGAACAAAGTTAACCCATAATAATTTCATCTTATACAATGTGTACGTACGGCTTAAAAATTTGTATGGATCACATGATCACACTTTTACGGTTTTAGTCAATCAACCGTATAAATTTGCCTTATGTGATGAGATATTTGAAATTTTAAAAAATAGATTTTCAAACATCATCATTCTGACATTCAACTTTGGAATTTGGTTTTGTTAAAAACCTGAGGCAGGCCTTGGTGAAAGCCAAAAACATTTGGAATTTTTGTTGAAGTTCTGTTACTGGATAAAAGGTTTTGTTTGTATTTAATCTTTTACATTTTTTGTTCTTTTAACTCAAGCAGCCAAAAATGTTTGTTTTCTCCAAGAAACTATCTGATAGAGTGAAAAGTTTAAGGTTTCTCACTAGTATTGCGACCGTTTCAAAATTCCTGACCCAGACAATAGGTTTGTTCCAACACAAGTCCCTGACTGGTTTGAATTTGAAACCATATGAGGTGTGTGCAATGACATTTTACAGCCAAGAACTGAACAATGTGCATGCCAGTTTTAAACCAGTTAAGAACTTGTGTTGGAACAGACCTAATATTTGCTAGAGATATTTGCAAGTTAGAATTTTAAAAGCACATTTTCTGTCACTCTTAGCCTAGGAATAAGATGGGGATAAGTTTGGGTGGGGGTGTGAAGTTAGTCTTTAACTGTTAAAATAAAATACAAATATTTTTATAAATTTATTTTGTTTCATCATAATTTCACAATTTCTATGAAAACCCAACAAATTAATAATTAATCTAGACCATGAATTTAAAAACTGGCTTGTCCGGGTGAAAACCAGTCTGGTTTCAACACTATTTCTCGCTCTTCTTTCAGCAGCACACCATAACTTTGAAGAATATTTTTTTATCTCGTATATATGTGAGGTTAGCCGTTGGGTGGTAAGTGTCATGACAATTGAGTGGTCAACACTGTCATGTGGGAGTGGAAAGACTCATGGAGACAGGTTTACATTTAAAACCGTTTAATAAAATAAAAATTTCTTACAATATTTTCTTGAATAAAGGGGTAACAGAGCACAAAACGCGAGGATAAAGTCCAAATAAAGTTTGAATGTTTGGGTTTTCTTTTCCTATGGTTCGGTGAGGGCAGTAACACAATCGTAGCCCCAGGGTATATGGTAAGACTTCTGGTGGTTTTTCTTGGATGAACCGATGAATCTGGATGGCACTAGGTGACACAGCAGAACAAGTTGTTTCCATGATGTCCAAAAAGTTCCTTCCTAATTTCATAAGAGCACACACATCCAAGATGGGAGGACTACAAACCAAGAACTTTCCGTCCTTAAACGTGCAGTTTTATAAGTTTTTCCCTTAAAGCCGCTTTTCACCTGGTGACAATTTGAAACCGATCAGAGGGTGCAGGAGAGGTCAGTTTCACGACTAAATACGACTCCTCTCCTGACATGTTTCCCTCGACTTTAGTCTTTTCTATTGTTTAAATAATTTACAGAAAAAAACTTTCTTTGTTTAATCGAGATCTTTTTCTTACTTTTAGAAGAGCAGCATTTTTCAAAAGCCATAAACTGTAAACATATATTCTGACAGAACAATTTGCAATCCTTATTTCATCTTTGTTGGCTGACGTCTTTTTTTTTGTTTTTTGGTTTTTTTTTTGAAGAATTCTTTCTATTCTTCTTTAAATTCAAAAATCAACTCTGGTCTCTATCAGAAAGTATTAACATAAAGCTCCAATAGAGCTTTACATTAAGCCATTAGCTTTTGCTATAGAAATGTAACAATGAAAATGAGGTCAGGAAAAATAATGCTTTCCTGACTTTTAAGAATAACCAAATGATCTGCTAAATTTTTTTTTTACTATCCCAATAAAAAGTCCAGAAGATGGTTTGGTTATTCTAATAAATTGAGTTATGGATGTTATGAGTTAGGTTAAAGGGTAACAAAGCCTAATGTTTTCAATATAATTCCACAAACAATGAATATGATTGACAAATTATTTAAAAAATAAAATTCCAGTTTCAAAAATTAAAAACTGAAATGGTAACATTCCTTAATAGCAAAATAAATTACATACTACAAATTCTGCACAGCCATGTTATAAATAAAGATGATTGCATAATAATTTTAGATAATTTTGTTAAAAACCATATTTTGTTATCTTAATTCTACCTTGACTAAATTCAAAGAGCAAATGCTGATAAGTAATATTATATTTACATACTAATGTTTTGCTGTATGTATTTTTGTTTTTCATACTTATCTTATGCTATATCATGTAAGTATATGTAGTATAATACTCCTATGGAATGGTGCACTTAATAAAGATGTTCTGTTCATAACAAACAATTTCAATACTAAAATTCTTTTTGATACATTCAAATTTAAATAAATTTTTATTATTCTTTAAAGATCAATTTTATTTTTATGTTAAAATTTAAAAATTAAGCATTTAAGAATTATTCATTATTATATTTTTCTTTACATAATTAATAAATTATATCAATTTTATTTTGCGATATGAAAATAATGTTAAAAATGTTAATTATACTAATCATTTAGCTTGAAAATATTGTACAGTATAAACATTAAAAAGTTTTAAATTGGTAGGCCTATATGATATTTTACTTTATTCTAGTATGAAAATATAATAAATCAGCATGAATTATTTATTTTTAAATTCTATCTTTATTGAAAGACTACTAGAATTTTCATTTGGTTATTGATATATTCAGAATTATAATTATAATAAAACTTCCAGTTGCAATCATCTTTGTATTGAGACAATCTGTAGAGAAGACCATACATTTCATGAACAGAATTAAACATATGCATTTTCTTTGAAATTAAACTTCTCTTAACGCAACCAGTCAATCAAAGGAACCAGGGCCATTCCTAGTGCGGGTGCAAAAGGTGCTCTCGCACCTGGGTGGTCAAACCCAGAGACAACTGCAGGCCATT